CGCCCGAAACTCTCGTTCCGGATTGAGACCATTCTGGAAGCGATCTGCCGATTCAGATCGACCATTTCGTATTTACGCTGCAGATCCCCAGTCCGCTGAAACTGGCGTCTACGAACATTTCTGAGCCGAATCAAGAGTTTGGTGTGGGAATCAATTGCTTGAAACTTACCCCTCACAGGAACTCGTCGAACGCACTCTTCGTCAGCCACGGATATGGCTTGATGGAGACCCTCCAGGGCCCGGTCGATGTCATCCACTGTGTCGAGCGGTGAGTTGTCGTCGATGTGGCGGTCGACCACGCGTCGAAACTGGACCCAGTTGACTCGATGGTAGTCCTTCCGCTGGCACGGTGCAGGGGCCACGTTGTAGCCCAGCTCGGTCAGCACCGGTTGGTGGTCCGAACTCAGGTCGTTGACGGCAACCGGCTTGGCTAATCTGGTGTTTGCCAAGAACAGGTCCAGCGTCGATGGGTTGCCCGTCGGTGATGTGAAGGTTGGTTCGTCCGGAAACCAGACGGAATAGAGACCATGCTGGGAATGGTCGAATAGCAGGCGGCCGTTCTGGTTCTGCTGGTAGTTCCGCCAGGCCTCGTGCCGGGCGTTCAGGTCCCCTCCGATTACAAAGCGGGCATTGGTGTGGGTTATGATGGCAAGGTCGTTCTTGAACTGCTGTGCTGTACCATTGCTAACGGTACATTGCCGGGGGCAGTAGACAACGATGAACCGGACGTTTCCGGTCGATGTTTCCACCTCAACGCCGACGGCCTCGATGATGGAAGTGCGGTAGTGGGGTAGGGTGCAGTACTTGATGCCTTTCTTGATGATGACCGCGACACCGCCCCCCCTGGAGCTGGTGCGATCAAGCCGGACAATGCTGTGGTCGGGCAGCCAGAAGCTGTCACCGGTCTTGAGGTGGGTCTCGGTGAGAAGGCCCACGTCGATGTCGTGCTTGCGGAGGAAGTCTGCAAGCTCAATGTTTTTCGCCCCTACGGAGCGAGCGTTCCAGTTGGCGATCTTTATGGGTTCACGGTCCATAATTAGCGACGAAGGAGATGATAGCTTGGAGCTGTTGTGTTCTTGTTGCGCAGGTGCGCTTGATGATGATGGCCTGGGCCAACAGTGTGACGATCTCATCCGTTGACAGCGGAGAATCGTCTGTAGCTTCACCGGTTGTACCGGCCAATCCCGGAGCAGGGGGATCCGTCGATGGCCCGGAGGCTTGACCGGGTACTGCAGCGGCAGCCAACTGTTGGTTGAGCGGGAGCGGCGGCAACACTGGAATTGGCCGTGATTGGACCGGTGATAACGGAGGAAAGTTCTGCGCGTTGTTTTCTGGAACCTTCTTGCGACCGGGCTGGCTGTTGGACGAGGCCTTCTTCCGGATCTCGGCGTATTCGGCCCGCTTCGGACAGGCCTTACTCGTGGCCTTGTGGGCGGCACCGCAGTTGGCGCATGTGGGAGCGGCTTCCTCGATGCTGTCGCAGTTGTCGATCTTGTGGTTTTTGCCGCATTTGATGCAGCGGCTGGCCATGCGGCAATTCCTGGTGCCGTGCCCGAACAATAGGCAGTTCGAGCACTGAGTGACGCCACGGTGGGTGGGTTTATACCGCTCCCACTTCACTACGATGTGGAACAGTGTGCGTGTCGTCTGGAGATCCTTCACGGTTGTGGAGTTCTTCTCCAGATGGACCAGGTAGAGCTGGTCACGATACTTGATGGCCTTGCTGCGGGTCATCTTGTGGACTTCGACCGGCTTGAGGCCGTTCGCCTTAATCTCGTCCATTAAGGTGGTGGTGTCCATGTCGTGGAGCCCGCGCAGCACCACTTTCAGCGGCTTGGTGGCCTCGATGTCGTGGGAGAAGTACTCCAGCTTCATTCTGTCCAAGAGGGCCTGAACTGCGTTGAAGTGTTTTTCGGCCGGGACCATCAGTTTATAGCCTTCCGTGCACCGTTGAATGGTGCAGCGAAGGCCCTGCTTAATGTAGAAATCCAGCTGCTCCCATAGCCCGGGAGGGAAGCCCTTCACATAGAAGGGTGGCAACTTAACTTTTTTCGGCACCGTCTCAGGGTCCGACTGCGGCTGCGCTCCGTTCTGCAGGGCGGAGAACGGATTGTTGCTCAGCAGCTTTTTTGCTGCTGATACGGTGGCGCTGCTGTCTTCAGGTCTGGGTCGTTTAGTTCCGGGAGGCCCCGGCTGCGGGTCCGCAACGCCTGTCGGGATGGGCAATGGGGTTTTCTTCTGCTTCTTCTGGGCTGGCTCGGTGGTCGCGCCGTCTCCTGGGAGAGTCTGTTTTCCCGGTAAACCGGCACTCGCGTTACCGCGCGATTTCTTACCCATGGCTGGGTCAGCGAGAGCGTCACTACACAACGCGGAGCTAATTCGACTTGCGAACGAACGAACGAAACTAGAGAGAATTCAAATCGACTGAACTGCTCACCAGACAGCAGCGCTGCTTTAGTGCTTTATATCTTTTTAGGTTAAAGCAGAATGATGTGCAACCAAGTGTTATAAAAGCTACAAAGACTCCTCCCATTATGAGTAGTTTGCTATCAAGTAGCGACACTGGATATTTTCTTTTTGCGTACACGGTGAATATAAACGCCCCAAACTTGAGTTTAGTTCACCCATAATCGCCAAAAGTGTAGGAACTCAGCGATGAGTAAATTTGTCTCATGATTTCCTGTGGAAAATCTAAAAAATCTGCCAGAAAATAAGGAAATTGACGAAAATTTTATTCAGTCTCGGAGTAGTACCAATAGACTGAGTGAATCCAATCTTTACTTTTCTCAAATTCGGGAATTATTCCCTGGAAAATCCTGGAAAAACCTGGGAAAACATGAGGAATATTTACTCATCGCTGAGTTCCTGCACTTATTTCTGAGATAACTAAACTCAAATTTGGGTCGTTCTCATTCGCCGTGATAAATATCGGCGCCGGTGGTTAGCGTGATTACCTCTCACCCCAGCAGGCCTGGGTCCAATCTCACTCGGTGCCACCGGCATGTTCTAAGGCATAACATCTCTGGGAGCTGCCTCCCTGGCGTCGGTAGCATTGGAGCTCAGTACGGAAAACAAATCTCGCGTCACTTTTCAATAGGTCCTATCTACATTGATCGATTCTCTTCATCGACACTCTCTTTCGTAAATAACTTGGCTTCCCTAATAAAAAATAACCATAAACGAACGATAACCCAAATCATTGAACTATTCCACAAATGGTTTGGATGATACCCAGAACACGTCGTTAAGCAAATTAACCATACAATTTTTATTAGGGTTCACAAATCTGGATCAACAATAGAAAAGAGCCCATCAGCATTTGTAAACAAACCGTTCCAAAGCCCTTTACTCACAAAGCGAAGGCCACCCACACAAACCAACACCATCATCGGATAGGGGAAACTTCTACCTACAAGATGTTGGTGTTGGTTTGTGTGAGCGGCCTTCGATTTGTGAGGCTTTGGAACGGTTTGTTTACAAATGCTGATGGGCCCTATTCTATTGTTGATCCAGAAATGTTTCCTGCCGTCTTCGTCGAATTAGATGCTAGATTGTTGTTTCTTCCATCGAAAATATCCCACCGTGGCGATTCAAAATTGATCAAGGTTGATCAAAACAATTTGTATCCCTGCTTCCAGTTTGATTACATGAGCATTTTGTGTGGTCGGTGGTTCTGAATATGGACAAACAGGCAGATGAATTCTATTCCTACTCTTTACTGTAATAAGCTTGGTGGCCCTGAAAAGAGCCGTTTTGTTTCCAATGTTGGTGATGATTTAACCTCTGAAACCAAACAGAGTGCGTCTCTGTCACTTCAAAAACGTAGATGACATCCATGGCCGCTTACGCTTGGCGTGTTTAGTGTAGGTGACAGCATCACAGATCTCATTTTTCAGGAACACCTTCAGCACACCTCGTAAATCAAACCGGAGATACGACAGACACCGCCACGGCGAGCCAGACGACGGATGGTGGTTATCTCGAAGAATTTGCGTTTGGTTCTGAACATGGCGATGAGTGTGTAAAATATTACGCAATTCCATCCTCCCTATTCGCACGCGCCCGAGGATCGGAGGCGAATGCCACTTGGACTTGTTTCGTCTACTTACTACTCTCTGACGACTGTGCTGGGGAAGCAGCATATGCATGTAGGTAATTGGTGGATTTGTTAGTTAATTCGACGTTTTTGGACAATGCTGAACATTTACCAGTTTTTCAATAGTTTCCTGTTGAAAATCAACATTCGGAAGCATTGTTATCAATGCGTAGCCATGTTTCTGATCGATTGGTGACAAAATTTTTGAAATTTTACCAGGGAAAGCTGAGTTATTAACGTTCAAAATCTTTCTTAATTTGTTACATGTTCCATTTTCGGTTTTCACAAAGTGTACCCCCATATAGAAATCAAAGACGTAGTCCTACGTCAAAAATGCATTGAGTTTTTCATATTGAAATCAGTTACAATGAAGCTTGCATATTTTGTTATATCAGCGAAAAATATTGCGATCCAAACAGCAGAACTGTAACTTGACCTCTGGACGATCGAATTCCAAAATGGAACAGATATGCGGTTACTTTGCTTAACATTGCTGACTTGACAAGCAAATCGATTAACGTACCCCATTCTAGTCAAAATTCTAGTACACAATATTTGTTTTGATTCGCTATGAAAGTTTGAAAGATAAAATGAGGGGTTAGTGGATTTTCCTATGTTTTGAGGGGTGAATCGATCAGCTTGGGACCGAAGATAGTACCAGAGCTGAGCCAAAAAGTTGAGCTCGTTTCTTCGGGACCTACTAGTCTTAGAGTTACCTCTATCATTATAGGCAGTGCAGGCATACAGCATGGGATTGAGCCCTTCCACCTTCGGCAAGGAGTCAAAAGTGACCAACGGGAGGGTACCGTGGATCGCAAATGGCACGTTCGGATAAATAACTCTTCGGCTCAGTATCACTCATACGTTCCAGAACATTTAACAATCTTTCATTACAGAAAAATATAAACATTTGATCACCCACAGGCCCACTGTTCAAAAAAGAATATGACAAACTTACCTCCGGCGGAACTGAATAACTCAATTATGTGTCTTTGAATCATTATTGATAAACCGAAAACTTTAACTCCTACGCTTTGTTCCCCTTCAGTCGCCATCGTTCCCATTCTGGCCGGCCAAATCGGAAAAGAAATCCGCTGCGTTGGTCTGCTTCGATGACGGTAGATTGTGTTTCACCGCTTTCTTGTCTGGTTTACTGTTGTACTTGATGTCATCGAAGTCTTCAAAATATTTGATGTTCCAGAAGCGGATATCGTTGTCATGCGAGCTGGAAGCAATCAGCTCTCCGGTACTGTTGATGTCGATCGTCTCCACTGCTAACGAATGCTGACCGACAACGCCGAGAACCCGACCCGGGACCAGGTGCATCGCGCGGAGAATACCGTCTTCACCACCGGTCACCGCTATCCGTTCCGTAATGGGTACCATCTTGTTGACGCCTGCTTTTGGACCTGTTTGCAACAATTTGAACAAGTAAGACAATGTTTTCCAACGATATTCAAGAGCCACAGTCTTACCAATAAAAGCATCGCAATGGTAAGCGAATTGCCCCCAGTTGAAGGTGTAGAAGTTGCCCTTCGACGAACCCACAACGAGTTTACTGTCTTTTCGGAAGATACCCATGCAGGTCAACTCTTCCTCGTACGGCTCTGATTGAACGTACATTTTCCTGTGGAATATAGAACAATGTTCATCTCGAATCCGCACCAATTTCAAACAATAATTTACTCACCTCTGTGGTAGGTTGATCGTCGTTAAATAACCGTCCCCGCTCGTCATCAGCAGATATTTTTTCTGCTCATTCGTAATAATACAGGAAATGAAATCTTCCACTTCCTTCAGCTTGAAAATCTGTTCCTTCTGCCTGAGATCCCACAGCTTCAGCACTCCGCCGTCGTCACCCGTGGCAAACGTATGCTCGCTAATCATACTCATCGTATAGACTGGCTCCTCATGGGCATCGTCCCAGAATCGTTTCAACTTTCCTGTTTCGACATCCGTCACCATAATTGTCCGATCCCTCGCAGTCGAAATGATCAAATCCCCTTCCGTGTTGAACTCTACATCCCGAATAGATTTGGAATGTGCTTCGTGAGTGTTCACAATGGTGCACTCATCGTTCGTGAACTTATAAAGGATTACATCTCCGGTAGTTGTCCCCACGGCAAGAATATCCTGATCCGGATGAAAGCACAGATCCGTTACAAAATCTTCGGTCTTTATGTCCGGAGGTTTCGATCTCGGTTTCTTGATCTCCGTAATGATTGCCTTGATTACTTCATCCTCCTCCATCTCCTCGTCGTAATCGTCAATCGCCCTCTTTGGGGTCGAGTTTTTCGTACTGCTGTCCTCTCCATCTTCGCCGTTCGCAGTTCCTTCTTCCTTGTCAGAATCTGAATCATCCGAATCATCTTCATCACTCGACGAAGTTCCAATTACAATTTCTTCATTCGGATTGTAGTCCGATCCCTCCTCTTCTTCCGCCTCATCGTCCTCAACATCGTCCATCACGCGAAACTCCTCTAAAATGTACGGCTCCAGTATAAATTCCGGTTCCGTCCCGGAATCAAACTCATCATCGTCGGAATCATCTCCCATCGAGTGACCGAATTTCGGCGAATTGAAATTCCTCCTAACAAGCAAAAAGAAAAAGTCATTACCCTGGAAATTTCCCCACAAATCATCACAAAGATCATCCAACAGCGTGCGAGGTTAGGGCTCATGGGTCTTTTCGCACCCGCCGCCAATAGCATTGATTATTACAACGCATTACTTACATTTTGTCGTGAATTTTGAGGCCGTTCTGCGTGTTCGCTGGCAATTGAGCTGAAAACTTCACGTAATAGAAGCCCTTGCAACGGTTTAGAGCCGATTTTTCACCAAGCACAAAATTCACAACGTGTGAAAAAGGCTGACGAATTTGTTTTTGTTCTCGCGGCGACACTGCACGGAGGAACGACAAGCAATACAAAAACAAAAACGAAACACGACTAAAAGGCAATGGAGTATACGGTTCACATGAATTGATTCAATACACTCTTGATCTGGTGGTCGACAACTAAATGACTTGACAACGGATAGAAGAAAATCAACGTCGTCTTGGTTTCGGGTTGTTCTGCTTGCAGTTTAAGAAAATTGAACGCTGAATTGAACCGTCTAAATAGGGCTCAAACGATCGAACCGAACGGGGGTGTAGTTATGCCAATGTTCTGGATAACATGGTGCGGCAGTACAAATTTGTTGTCTATTTCGTTCGTCCGTTGTACTAGGGTAACTACAAGTTACGTCACACTCATCAATACGTTAAAACTGCGAGTGACTTAAAGAGACGACAAGATACACACTGCCAATCATGTCGTTCATTACATTGAAGCTATGCTACGGCTCTGCGTCAACTGCAGGGGTGGAATTCAACATAAGAGAGAGAAATTTTATGCACACCGTCGTGAAGAAAGAGACTTCAACCGTCACGATTAAAATGTATTTTTTTTTAAATTTTTGATGCACAGAAAAGAATGTTGATATTTAGCATAACTTTTAATATATTTAGCTTTGAAAATCTTTTGAGTGTATTGACCACTTTGTCAAGCAGTTTTGGCGTGACTTTCTACCAGCGATTTCACAAAGGTGGACCAACTAATTTCTATTTTTTATTACCACTTCAATCGAGCAGGTAAAATGACGTTTACTACCACTCGAACTTTGAAATAAAACATCATTTTGAGATTTTTTTCTTCTAGAACCTCGAGAAAAGTAGCCAACATTTGTGCCTTTCATAAAAAAAATAGAAATTAGTTGGTGCAGTTTTGTGAAATCACTGGTAGAAAGCAGTCTTCAAGGTGTAGCATCGCGCTTGTGAGCAAATAGGTTTTCGTACTCACAAGAACATTCATTCTGTGCTCACGCATGCACCCAGCCAAATGAACATGAGCCCGAGCGTATGTTTAAAGTTCATGCACGCACTTCGTTTTCTTCAGCGCTCGAACCCCAAGCGCAGACGCTGGTTTCTTTTTCATCATTTTGTTTTCGAGTAAACGTGTGGTGTGTGAGGAACGCGAAATATGTTAGTGGTGATTTAGTTGCGTTACCTATTCAGATATCCTTTAAATTTGTCGAATCTCTTAACGGAATCTCTTTAGGAAGAGCTTTGAGTGGGTTGGTTTGTTTCCTTTAAATTCCGTTATAATTGCTTATCTTTTGACAGATACGCGTATTTCGTCTACTACTTGCAGACTTCATCAGTGCCAAGTACTCAACAACAGTGGTGTCGAGTACTTGGCACTGATGAAGTCCGCAAGTACACCCAACCGGGGGATGTAAGATTCGTTTACAATTATGTGGGATTCATCATCAGAGGATGTTAGTGGAGACCGCATGAACCGAGAATGCGATATACCTAGCTGCGGTCCAATGCAAGAAAATTGGAGACCGAAAAATGTAGAGTGTATTAGTGAGGTAAATTAGTTATGTCGAAAAAAAAAACAGGAAACAGATGGCCGACTGGACTCGAACTACGAACGTTGCGATTATCAGACCTGTGCTTTCTCCACTGCTCTCTCCATGCTTCTGAATATGGATAGCCTAAATGCAAACATGAAGCGCTCATTTTCTCGCATGCTCGACTTCGTATGCTTTTTCTGCTGGAGAGATTCAAGGCAAGTTTGTGCGTCGTTCTACAAGCTTACTGGTATAGTCGAAAGCGTAGATAGAACACGAAATAAAAAAGACAAAAAACCATTACATCGCCTGCATGGTCAATTTCTAACATTCGTTGCGATGTTCATGAACAGAGGATGATAGGAAATGGATCTAACATTCATTGTAATAGATTTTTGGTTTGCGTGTAGTAGACGAAATACGCGTATCTGTCAAAAGGTAAACAATTATAACGGAATTTAAAGGAAAAAAAAAAACGAACCCACTCAAAGCTCTTCATATTCAGATATCTTTTATCATAAGAAGTAATCGTTGGTAAGTAAGACTGTAAAGTTAAAAAATATATATTTCAGCAGAAGCATATTTAGTGTAGTGATTCGCGCACAACGTCGTATGGCAGCCATTTCCATCCAAAAATTCTCAAAGCAAATTGCAACTAAAAAAAAAGTTTTGTGTTGTATTGTTTGCACAATTTCTTGATGTGTTGTATTGTTTGCACAATTTCTTGATGGGGGTGATTTCTTTAAGAATGTTTATATAAGAAAGCTCTTTATAGGTTGTATTTGTATTTTGGTCAGACTTATTTGAAATTCACTATATATTTCTTGTGTGAATGGATATACTTATTTTAATGACATATACAACCATCGAGGTACGTAGGAACATCGATTTACGGAGGCAAACATATAACATTCTTATGCGATACCAGTTGGGACTCAGTGACTGCAGGGGCCTCAGATAGCCTAGTATTACCAACAGTATTACTCTAAATGTTTTCAGCACCTGCTTACTTGTTTCCATAGTTATATATAACCATAGAGGTAACTCTAAGACTAAAAGGTCCCGAAATAACGTGCTCAACTTTTTGGCTCTGCTCTGGTACTCTCTTCGGTTCCAAGCTAATTGATTCACCCCTCGAAACATAGGAAAATCCACTAACCCCTCATTTTCTCTGTCAAACTTTCATAGCGAATCAAAACAAACATTGCGTAGTACTAGAATTTCGATTAGAATGGGCTACGTTAATCGTTTGCTTGGGACCAATAGGCTAGTCAAGTAGTGAGCCAATTTAAAATCGTTAGTTTCCACCGGTTGATATAACTTTACACTATATGCATTATGTTTATTTTATGGAAAGAACAGCATGTGATTTTAAGTAGGGAAAATTCTCGAAATGTTAGTGGGACTGGCATCTAAACCTCAAAATTAATAACTATAAAAATGCATCTAGAACACTAGGTTGCTTGGAATGCGAAAAAGAAGAAGAATTGTATGCACTATCAATTATTGTATTGTCCGCATCAGCTAGGCAAGTCTCAGTAGAGCGGTGCTTCTCGGCAATCAAGCTGGAGCAACATTGGCTGCGAATGTCCTCACAAATGCTCAATGATTTGATGACTATTCGGTTCAGTCGTTATTTGTTATTTTGATTTTCAATTGATAGATTCGATTTGTTGTTTTATGGTTTATGTGGTTAAATAAATGGAAACTATAAAATGAGCATATTACCACAAACGAAAGCCAAGAAATTCATTAAAATAATGTGGTTCACTGTAATAGAATTTTCTTGGAAGCTTGTGCCATCATCCACCAGATGGGTTAGTTTTTTTGTTTTGATTTGAACAAAGTTGATTTTGTGTACAATGATTCTTTGACAGTGTGCAAAGAGTGTATCATTTTGTCATTTTTTTATGCATTTCAGTTTTGAGTAGAGTGAAAGAGATAGAACCAAAACATTCTAATACATTTGGTGAAAATGCTAGTACAATCCAGCAGTTGTGTTGCCATGTGGTACTATTTGGTACTATCCAGTAGTAGTGGTGTTGCCATGTGGTACACTGAAAAATTGAAATAGCAGGTTAGTCACCAAAGTTTTCGAGCCGCTCCGTCTGTCACTTCGTTTGTGATATTTAAAATTGAACTGCTTTATAAACATTGCGCAATGCTTGACTGACTTTAAGTCTTTTAAAGGCAATCTTTATTAATGGAATTACTGGCAACTGCGCGCAGTCAGAAAGATATTGGTGTTCCCGAATAGAAATTGTAATGTAGGAAACATCAGCAGACATCTCCAATACAATAATGTAGGAAACATCAGCAGACATCTCCAATACATTAAATTTTAACGTGTATTGCTGTACCCTTAATGTATTCAGACTTCAGTGTGACGTCCAAGTACATAAAAATACATTAGCCTCAAACGTTACATCAGAATCAAACGTCTTGACGATGTAAAATTTGACATCAGAATACATCCAATGACAACTGAACCTAACGTTACATTAGAATCAAACTTCATCACGATGTAATTTGTTGCACGCATAAAACATCAGAATACATCCAATGACAACAGAACCTAACGTTACATTAGAATCAAACTTCATCACGATGTAAATTGTTGTCCCTCGGTCCCTCGCCGCATGCAAAGTTTGCTTTGTGCTGAGTCAGCACTAAACGGCAAATGAGAACGACCCAAATTTGAGTTTAGTTCATTCATAAATCGCAAAAAGTGCAGGAACTCAGTTTTGAGTTAATTTTCCTCATGTTTTCCAGGTTTTTCCAGGAATTTTTTTCCGAATTTGAGACATTCTTGATCAGGATTTAATCCGAGGGTAATACCGATTGGAGCTTAGCCATAAGTGATTTAATGAATTCGCTGATTGCGACTCTCTGAAAATTAAATGCACAGGTTTTATACGTCAAACTCAACCTTTGCAACGTCCTCTTGTAACTTAAAAATACAAAATGTCATCATAACGTATAATGACTTCATAATTCCGAAAAAAAAAAACATGTTTCCGGGTGGAATAAGTTTCATCAAGCCTTATGATGGTACCCAAGATTGGCCACAAGCAGTGGCGTTTCCTTAACCTCAATCTACCTGTGCACCAGCTCTCAAAACATAAACAATTATCAAAATATAGCTTGCAATGGATGGATATCGAGTAAACTAGAAGATTAAGTGTATTTTTCAACCGATTCTAGGATGAATAAGGCATTAAATCTGGTTTTGTATAACAAAGTTGCGCCAACTAACTCGGTCCCTGGCTGCTTGTCTCCAATTTCTCGAGCGTCCCACACTTCCTACATCTTGCTCCACTTGGTCTAACCACCTAGCACGCTGTGCTTCTCTGCGTCTTGTACCGGCCGGATTTGAGGAAAAACACCATTTTTGCGGGATTGTTGTCCGGCATTCTTACAACGTGTCCCGCCCATTGTACCGTTCCACCTTTAGCGACTTTCTTGATATTGGGTTCGCCATAAAGTTACGCCAGTTCGTGGTTCATTCTTCTCCTCTATACACCATTTTCATATACCCTGCCAAAGATGGTCCTAAGTACGCATCGTTCGAAAACTCCCAGTGCTCCTCGAGCATTGTCCATTGTCATATTTTTCATGCACAATAATTTTGTTTATTATATATTTGCAGTTCGTCAATAAGGTAGAAGACTGGCAGCCCAAAACTTTCCGCATTTTTAGATCATCTGTAGAACAGACTGGAGGTGCAGCGATCACATTGTCATGATTGTCTGGTAGTTCACTCAAAAATGCTATAACAATCGCCAAGCTCGCTGTAATGTCACCAAGTGCCTCGTCACCCACGAATAGGCGTCTATGTCAGTGGTCTAACAACTCTTAGCGCGCTAATGGCATAGTTCCCCTTCCGCATAGAGAGTTGCCACAATGATATTAGGTTACCCTAATAAAAAATAACCATAAACGAACGATAACCCAAATCATTGAACTATTCCATAAATGGTTTGGATGATACCCAGAACACGTCGTTAAGCAAATTAACCATACAATTTTTATTAGGGTAGCTAAGGTCAGTTAACTGACTGGTGGGAAACGGGAGCTTAAGCAATGGCTATTCTGTATGCATTTAAGAGATAGTCTACCAGAATGGATGATTTTTTTTTGTACAATTTTATGTTTTCTGATGGTTTCGGTTGCAAAACATGAGAATTAACTTTTCCAATGCTTTCAATTGTACAAAGCATTAGAGCTAGAAACATGATCTTGTAAACACTACACACCTTAACTGGTAGTTTACTAAAAAAGATGCTGCTACAATCGTCAAGCTCGCTGTAATGTCACCAAGTGCCTCGTCACCTACAAATTGGCGCCTATGTCAGTGGTCTAATAACTTTTAGCGCGCTAATGGCATAGTTCCCCTGCCGCATAGAGAGTTGCCGCAATGATATTAGGTTAGCTAAGGTCAGTTAACTGACTGGTGGGAAACGGGAGCTTCAGCATTGACTGTTATGTACGCATTTTTAGTCTAGTCTAGTCTAGTCTACACATACACAGCCAGTACTTGAAAGAATCCTGGAAAATGATACATCTATCATTTTTCTTAACTGTTATGTACGCATTTTTATTATGTTATCTAACAACAATGGTGTGTAGTGTTTACACGATCATGTTTCTAATTATAATGTGTTGTAAATATAATTGAAAGCATTTGAAAAGTAAGATTCTAGTGTTTTGTATATCTAAAAACATTAGTAAACATCTACATTTGAAAACATTCCAACAACTTTAACTTTAAACGTTTTGTACATCTGAAAACATCAGAGAACATCAAACACGAAATACAATTGAAAACATCCGAACAACGTTTAGTTCTAACGTTGTGTACATCCGAAAACATCCAAAAAACGTTTGGTTCTAGCATCGGGAGACATCTACGTTAGAAAACATCAGAATACATTTACATATAAAAACATCCGGACAACGTTTAGTTCTAACATTTTTTACATCTGAAAACAACCGAAAAACGTTTGTTTCTAACATCAGGAAACATCTTTAGTTCTAACGTTTTTTACATCTGAAAACATCCAAAAACGTTTGTTTCTAACATCAGGAAACATCTACATTAGAAAACATCAGAAAACGTTTACATTTAAAAACATCCGAACAACGTTTAGTTCTAACGTTTTGTACATCCGAAAACATCCTTAAAACGTTTGGTTCTAATGTCAATAGATTGAAATTTTTGACGTCAGACCGACATTAGAATGGCAAAATTTTGTTCCAAAATTTCTGATGTATACACCATGTTACGTTGCTTAAATACAACTAAATCATAATGTTTTCTAATGTTTGACATCAGGCATACATTTGATTTCGATGCTGATGTAGACATCAGAATCAAACGTTGGGCTAATGTAAATTTCTATTCGGGTGACGATTGTCGCAAAACCGGACAAAATTTCTATTTAAATTACACACGTTAAACCCAAATTAACATCTAGTCACTCGCCAACACCAACCAACCAATCACGTAAAACCTCCGAGTGCAACCCTGATGTTCGAGCACAGGCGCAAGCACGAAACATCAAGCCTGAGTTCATTTACGCTGCGCTCATCCCCAGGTGTTGTTCATTTCTCTCCAGTTCGATGTGCGTGTGTTAACATGAGCCTGAGAGAGAACACGCGCTCTGAATGAACTTGTACTTCTGAAATTTGAACTCACGCTCAACGCCGTGCATGTTTACGTGAAGACTGGTAGAAAGTCACGCCAAAACTGCTTGACAAAGTGGTAAATTAAACACACATTTGAAAGGTACTATTTTTGTCAGTGTAGATTTGATTAAACCGCCGCTGATGAGAAATCACCATCGTCGATGCAGATCTCTATCAATCTTATTTTGACAGATCTGCGTGCTTCTGTCACCAGCTGGGAGGAAAAGTGATGTGTCAAATAAAAATATTTACGTGAACTCAATTTTCTCGCCACCCAGAAGAGAAGGGTGTCCTGTGTCGTGGTGAAAATTAAGAAAATACGGACAATTTTAAGCTTGCTCGGTTGTGTAAATACTTTTCTTCGGATCCGCGTAATGTCGCAATAGTCGGCGCGATATTCATGTGCGTTTGAATGATCGCAAAGTGTGCTAAATTTGAGCTTATAGTGTGATGTCGCTTTGTTTCCTCTGCTGCTGCTGTTTCTAAATGGTGGTAGTGATTCATTGAAAAAGCAAACAACACTCTTGTACCAGTAGACAGTGGAGGAAAATAATCTGCGCTAAGGTAGTCGAGGTGCTTCCTGATTTATTCTGAGGAAAGAAAAAGGAAAAACGAATCCTAGGTGCAGCATTAGTGTGGGGCTACTCCGCGAGCAATGACAATGGGAGATGATACTCCAGTGGTTACTTCCTTGGTGCTGCCAATTCTGATACGTCCAATTCTGTCACAGGTGGGTGAAGTGGATATTTTCATAACACGCAAAGAAATGAGGGGGTGGTAGGCGGCTAGACGGCAAACTGGCTCCCGGAAGAAAAAGTGGTTACACCAGCTTCCTTTACGAGTGTGTTTCGGGATTTCTTGGGGCGCTTATTGATCAAATGGTCGATGGTGCAATCTTCAAAAGGGAAACATTAGAAAACCAGACTTTCTTGTTATGGCCTTCATGAGCACTGCGGTAATGGGTGCTAGATGTTTGTGCACAGTGGGTGAGTAGCGAAATTTGTTGGCACTGTTTTCGATCGAATTGAGAATCATCCTTCTCAATGTATTTCATCGCAGAAGTTATCATAATGTATACGTTTAAAAAGTTTTGCAATTATTTAGTCCAAAGCGTTATTTTAGATTAATCCCACTGTGCATCAAATTTTCCTTCTCGTGATGCTGAGCTTGCTGCATAAATTGGCTGTTTGTTCGTGTCTGTTTTGCACCGGTGCATCTGCGCCATCAAATGCAACAACACACAACACAACGAACTAAATCAGGATGCATTTACTTGAGCCACTAACTTCCACCGTAATGCTTAAGTGCAACTGCTACAGCCGATATCGAATGCATCAAACAAATCAACTGATAAAATGCCACAGTTTATGATGAAATTTTCCGGTTTTCTGATTTTCCAGTTGGAACGTCGCGATGTGGTCGCTTCCCAAACGCTGAGGGCAGCCCTGGCCAAGGCCGAACAGACGCATCCGGGTATGACGTACGATCTGGTCATGGGCATCATCCGGAAGGGAGACATCAACGTCAACATGAACGAGAGTATTCTTCGACTGCAGGGCGCGGCGACCGATACTGACCGTGAGTGTTATTTGCTTTTTTTGATTGATTGTTGATGTAGGTGTAGTTACTTCATAGCCGAGTTTCGATAAATTAACTGCCGTGCGATGAAAATGATGGAATTTTTCCGTGTATCGTGGCATAACCATAGTAAATCATAATTTACTGGGCTACTACAATGCACAGTGGTCCAGAATGCAGATTTAGGTGAAATTATATGTTTTGAGCCTGAAATTGAAACTTTACGCTAAAAGTCTCTTCTACAAAGTTGTTCCTTATAGTTATGCCCTCATTTTTATGACAATGCATTCTAGGGTGGTTCCTATTATCATTAAAATCAAAAATCTAACTTATTTGTTTGTTTGAGTTAGGGTGGCTCTAAAAAAAACAGTTGTTTTGCTCTAGTTTTCTTATTTCGAATTTCTCAGCAAAGGTGTCTTCAAATAACTTTTAGATCTTAAGAAGGCGCCGCACAAAGCTTGTCAATATCTTTCGCCGATCAAGAGTTATTGACGTTTTTATACTAAAAATATGCACTTTTCAAATGTTAATATCTCTGGTTGGGGCATACAAAAAAAAAAGTTTTTCTACGGCATTTGAAAGGGCGTATGTTATTTTCAATAATATGAAAAAAATTGGAGGTATGTTATTTTTTAAACTCGTATAAAATCAATTTGAATTTATTCATATTTTTTAATATGTTCGGGTATATCTTTTTTTTAGAAGAGATACAGACAACAAATTTCACTATAAAACATTCGTCTTAAAGAGTTTTAAAAGTCTCTAGAAGATGACTTTCATGAGAAATTTCAAATAAAAAAGTTAGTGCTAAAAAACTATTTTTTCCAGGATCACCATTGATAGCACCATACGAACTATAATTTGTACGGTATCCTCAGCATTGCGTTGTTACGGGGTGCTCGTGGTTGAACATTAACGTCGATTTGTTGTAGAATAGAAGGACAATCGATTCTGCCCTGTAGAATGTCTGCCATAAACAGGGCCCTTGTCGTATATCTTCGACTCCACAAAGGATCCAGGTGAATTAACTGTCATCGACTTTCGTTGCTTGGAAGGCGATGACGATCCCTCCAAGGCAATCGTCGAAGGGCAAACCAGATGAATCGTTGTTGAATAGACTCTACTCTTTGTACTTTGGTAATTGGGATTCCATACAGGGCAACAGTATTCTAACACCGACCGGACGAAGGAGCAGTAAAGCGACTTCAAACAGTAGATGTCCGTGAAACTTTTAGTCAGGCTTGCAATTGCTCATTACAGCTAAAATGCTATTTTTCGGTATTATGAAACAATGGGATACTATAATGATATTTTTTATTTGTAAGATGCAAGAAGAGGTGATAAAGTTTGTATATGACATATAAAATTTGTCAATTTTGAAGGTCACAACTAGCGATTTTATGATCGCTGATTGCTCGCTCATCGCGTTGCTCATCGTTACAGCTAATCGTTAGTTGTGACCTTCTGAAAGCAAAATCGACAAATACAAACTTTACCACCTCTTCTTGTTTCTTACAAATAAAAATTATCATTATAGTATCCCATTGTTTCATAATACCGAAAAATAGTATTTTAGCTGTAATGAGCAATTGCAAGCCTGCTTTTAGCTATCCTGAAAATGAAGCCGAGCGTTCTGGATCAGAGCGTAAAATTATTGACTGTTTACGCAGAGTGTGAAAGCACTGCACTATTCAATCCATTGCATTGCTCTGTGCAGACCGTTTGTACCAAACGGTAAAGGACGAGGCAATGAAAGAGCTAACAAAAACATCCAGTCACTCACGACCAGGCAACTCACACCGCTTCCCTTCGCACACACAGCATGTAATTGAGTAATTTTTCCATAGAAAATGTAAGCTCAGTCATTCAAAACATGTATTGAGTACCATCACGGCAGAATAAACGTGCTGACTGAGCTACTGACTGAGTGCTCGGCAGTCAGAGTGACTCGTTTACCTCTCAATCATTCAGACTCTCACGAGGCCGTGAATGATGAGGCAGATGGCAGTTTTTTTTTTTTTTTTTTTTAATCTTTATTTTAGAGATTTTTAGCCTGAGGCTAGTTCATCTCTTGGCAGATGGCAGTTCATATTCATACGAAAATAACTCAATGAACCTGACTGTTTTGCGCACTGTTCTGGATGCCTTGTCGATCACGCACGAGATATGCTGGCTGTATATGAGTTGACAATCTAAGATGACTCCTGTCGTGACCGGACCGAGGTTTCCAGCCTCGACCACGGCAACACGAATTAGCGATGCAGCTCCCACGGGTGCGGCTGCTTCTATTGCTGCTGCTGCTGCTGTTTCTGCTGCTGAGGTTTCTGTTGCTGCTGTTTCTGCTGCTGCTGGTGGTCCGTCACCTCCAAAATTCGTTACAAGAATGGCTTCAACGAGACTTTAAATGATCTATATTTCTTGAATTTGTGTGGTTTACATGTATAACTTATCAAGTGACACAGATGCGTCTTTTCAACTTTAATTCCTTTGAAATTTCAATTATTATTAATTACAGTTCCTATTCCTATCAGGCCTCTTTTAAGAATGACCACCTTGGTGGGATTGGTTTGTTTTAAATTTGAAAAAGGAGACTACTTATAACTACTATTTACAACTATAACTAACCTACAACTACTATATACACCTAATCTACTATATACAAATTGCTTATCAAAGCATATTCTGATAAATTACATTTTTGCGCAAATTTAGTCTTAATTTCGTTAATTCGGGAATCTATTTTGGAAATGCCTGCCTCTTCATGTAAATTTGTTATTCTAGTGTCGAAAGGACGATCAAGAACCATCCTCAGCACTCTATTCTGAGCGATTTGGATTTTGTTCCTGTGAGTCTGTGCACATGATTCCCACACCGGAGCTGCGTAGAGGATCGCAGGTGCTACGATTTGTTTGTAGACGGCCAGTTTTTTCACCCTTGAGAGGCGGGATCTGCGGCAAATCAGCGGAAACAGACACCTAACCAAGGTAGAACACTTGACTACAGTTTTCTCTACATGCGAACGGAAGAGGAGCTTTTCATCGAACAACATCCCGAGATAGGTTACTTCGGCGGACCACTCAACCCTTGTGCCATCCATGATTACAGTACAAGATGGAGCCGGTTTCAGTTTGGGCGATTGCCGATGTAGGAACATGATCGCTTGTGTTTTGGAGGGATTGATTTTAATTTTCCACGTGGTGGCATAATCAGCAAAGGCGTTAAGGCATCGTTGAAGTTTGTTCGTTATTTCGCGAGGCATCCTTCCTTTGACGGCTATTGCGGTATCATCTGCGAACAGGAAAAACACGCAACCGTCACCGAGGGGAGGAATGTCGGAAGTATAAATGCTGTAAAGCAAGGGGCCCAGCAGACTACCTTGCGGGACTCCTGCTGGGATGGAAAACGTGTCGGAAAGACAACCATTCAACGATACCTTAAACGACCTTTGCTGGAGGTAGTTACGGGTGATTTTAACCAGATGTAAAGGAAAGTTGAAGTTACAAAGCTTGTACACAAGTCCGTCATGCCAAACATTGTCAAACGCCTTTTCAACGTCTAACAAGGCCATGGCTGTGGACTTGGATACAGCTTTGTTACTTCGGATGTTATTCATCACCCGTACTAGCTGATGATTGGTGGAGTACCCCTTTCTGAATCCAAACTGTTCCGGAAGGAGAATGTTGTTTTCCTCGACAAACTTGTGCAAACGATTGAGAATCAGTTTCTCGAACAATTTGCTCAGCGCTGAAAGGAGGCTGATTGGTCTGTAGCTTGAAGGCAATGTTGGATCCTTACCGGGCTTGCGGATTGGTATGATTTTTGCTACTTTCCAGATACTTGGAAAGTAGTGCAGTTCCAAGCATCTGTTGAAGATAGCGGTTAGAAGAGACTGCACTTTCATGCTGAGTCTCTTCAAGATCAAGTTGAATATACCGTCAAACCCGGGAGCCTTCATGTTCTTGGTGCATTTCAGCGCTGAGCAAATCTGTTGTACTGTAATCATATCCACCGGTGGCACGACACAAGGGGAGGCATCAAGGTTTTGTACGCATTGCGCAACCTGATCTTCGAGCGGATTTTGGATATTCGAGCCAAGCAAATGCAATGAAGCGACATGCTTGAAGATCGCATTTGCTTTCTCCTGTGGGGTGATTAAAAGCCGATCGTCATCATTTTCGACTTTGAGAGGTGGAACGGGTTTGGGATGATTTTTCAGGACCTTGGCTACCTTCCAGAATGGTCTGGAGCGGTCGTCCAGATTCTGGACAACACGCCCGAAACTTTCATTTCGGAGTGAGTCCATTCTGGAAGCAATCTGCCTGTTCAGATCGGCCATTTCACATTTTTTGCCCAGATCTCCAGTCCTCTGAAACTGGCGTCTACGAACATTTCTCAGACGAATCAAAAGTTGGGTGTGGGAATCAATGGCAATAAACTTACCCCTCACAGGAACTCGTCGGACGCACGCCTCGTCAGCCACGGTTATGGCTTGGTGGAGTCCTTCCAACGCTCGGTCGATGTTCTCCACGGTATCAAGCGGCGGGTTGTCGATGATGTGCCTGTCTACCGGCTTCAACGAGCTTAGGTGCTTCATATTTATACCTGCTAACCTATCAAAATTCTCTAACCAATGAGATTCTGTTTACATACGAACTATCACGCTCACTTGATTCTACTCATTATTTATTCAAGACTAACTCTATCTTCTACATTCTTCCCCTCTTCTACTCTCCTTAATTGAGGAAGGGGGCATTATATCCACCCATTTGGTGGAATTTTATCTACCCTCTCGGGGGACTTTCATCTACCATCTCAGAGATATTTCATCCATGAGGTCATGTCAATTCCAACTATTTAAAAATTTCCTCAGTCCATCCATCAAGTTATGGCAATTCCAACTATTTCTAAATTTCTTCAGTCCATCCATCAGGTAATAGAAATTCTTATCTACCATCCGTTCCAGAATTACCAGGTCATAGTATCTACCATCCATCAGGTCA